TGCAGGATGGTAAATGTGATAGACACTGAAGTATTCACGCAGGATTGTGCCCCACTACATATTGATAACAAGGTGAAACATGTCTTCCAGGACAGAATCATTTCATATCACTTTACTTGGGAACTTGTTATCCGGACCTAACACAAGCCGGTTGTGGGGATACCTGAAGTCACGTGTATAGACTTAAAGGATGCGATTTTCCACGAAGAGTCTAGCAAGTAAACGATATGTGTGTTGTTGCTCTAATATACGTTGTCACATCAATGCATTCCGGACGTTAGAGGAGCACATTTTGAACAGTAACTGTAATTGATCAGACGTTAGATCATACTGGTGCCATAGTGCAACATGTGACAATTATGGCACATGCATCCGTATTATACCCTAAAAACTCCTGTGTAATTTCACTTTTACATGCCAGACTGCCTGTGAGAGAATAAAAGATCTCTATTTTCGAATAATGAGTAAATCATTTTAACTAATATTAAATCAACACTAGAACCTTTGAACAACGACTAAATCTTATGACATTCCGAATAATGGCACAATCTTATGATTATTTTGCCCAAGTTAACAAAGTTAATGGGCCTTTTGTAAGTTGGGGATTAGCATGATGGGTTGCGGGTTGGGAGGTCCAAGGTTTACGTCATAATGCTGCTGAACACGCTCGCAATTTCAGTTGTGGGTGCATCATAAGAATGATATTCAATCCGTTATTCAGTTCAACGCTGGACAACAGTTTACAGTGTGTTTCAAAGCTACAGTAAAACGATCTGCACAAACCAATCTTAGTTTTGAACTGAGAGACTAGATGGAAGGTAGCTAGTTAACAACACATACAATTAACTCTTGGACTACTTTAATCGAATAGTGGGATTTGACTGTCATTCTTATAGTGCATCTACGGACCCAAAGTGCAGAGCGTGTTTCTTGCGGCAATAACACGCGAAGCATGGATTCAAAGTCTGGCACGCTAACCTCTAGGGCACTCAGAGCCTGAAAAATTCCTTGTTGCGGCGGGTGCTACTATCTGGATGCTGTTGTTTGTTATTAGCACAAAGCTGCACAAAGGGCTATCCGTGCTCTGCCCACCACGGGTATCGAAACCCCTGTTTCTAGCGGTATAAGTCCGCAGACATACCACTGTGCCACTGGGAGACTATCTGGATGCTTTCACTCTGCTCAGTATCTGAATATTATAGACCAAATGCGATATATATGTTTAATATAGTTGCTACAAAAAATATCAGCTTATCACAAATAAAAAAATAAATGCAAACAAAAACTATCCGGCGAAATAACATGAAAAAAAAAACATTCACTCAGTGCAAAATAAATCAACAGTGGTGTAATAGAAAGATATATATTCGTAAATGATCTTAAAAAGACTAGTTTGTTTTAGATATTCGAGTTAGCCGTCCCTAAATTTTAATTGATACACTAGAGGAGAGACAGCTATATAGTTAACTGCATCAACCACCAACTCGTGAACTATTTTAATCGAATAGTGGGATCTGCCTTTCACTCTTATAACGTACCTTCGACTCCAAAGTAATAAGCACGATTTTGCGGCAATGGGACGAGAAACAAAGAACCTCAGTTTCACGGTCCGGCACGCTAATTATTGGGCCACGACCATCCCAACAGATAATAGAGGTTAATAAAAGTAATTAATATCCATACTAAATTTCTTCAGATTTATATAAAATTCTAAGTTAGATTTCTGCACGCATTCACACTTTAAATTTAAAAAAAAACTTTTGTATTCGGTCTCTTTATTTGACTTTGCGACATACTAGTATAACATATTTACAAGCAAGCATCATAGAAAACATATATTTCATTAACTTGTATTATTAAACATTAGAACAGAATTGTTTAAAAAAGACATTCACATGCGAACATCATTGATATGGTCGAGAAAACACAAATATCTAAGTGTACATATTATAACATATGAATTTGTACTCTAAAAATAACAAATAATAACATGGTTATAATATGAAGGCTAAAGCCATGTTAAAGTTTAGACTTAACAAACGTCAACGTTTTTTATAAATAGAAAACAAATATCCACTGTGCGAACTGTGTAAACAGATACAACATCAAATATTTTCCAACTGTATATATGATTACAGGTGATCGTAACTTCAGTATATGGAGTTTGAAACACTACTTTTCTTTGAAATAGTATACAGAATACTAATTAAAATATAAAGTTATATTACCATAGCAATGAAACTCTTCATATTAATAACCCAGAATAATTATGTTCGAGTAATTACTTAGCTTTCCTTACAAATTTATAGATAGACCTGCAGAGCTATGCGAGTTTTTTTTTATCGAGCCCATAACTCCATTGTCGAATTAATTGAAAAATAGCATTTTCGTGTGATTAATGTTGCCTTGTGAATATTCTCTAATTTCTTATTGAGTAGCAATAACTATGTGTTTGTGTGTTGTGCGCTATGATATAAATGCTGTTTTTCTTTAGTCAGTAATGTTTGACGGTTAGTTATATGATGTATATATAACAATCTTAGAAATGTCTTGTAATGATTTTGTCGATATCTCTTCAGAGTAACGCTAAAAATAAATTGTAGTGCTTTTATTCAACTAGAAAAAATACATTTTTTTTGCAATAAGTATTGTTAATTAGGACGTTCATCTAGTCAAGACCCAGGTCATTAATATTCTTACTAGCATTTAGACGAAGTAGGAATAAATCTTCTCAACTTCATGTCATTATTCACGTAATTCAATGAGTAGATAAACTTTCCTTTATCGTTAAATTAATTTTAATTTTGACTCAGTTAAGTGAAGAAAAGACAGTAGTGAGATCTACTCCTCAAGTTAGCGACACAATGAGTGTTGTCATCTTTATAAAAGTTTTTTGCAATATTTCAAGGCTGTGAGCGAAAAACACTACGTATTAGCGAACATAAAACTGGTTATATTCCAATATATAATTAACTACGTATTACCAAACATACAAATGGTTGGGTGTTAGCCTTAGAACCCAATATGTAATGGCAATCATACCCATGTACTGTACCAAATCATTATTAGTTTTTACTTGTACTGAACAGCCTATTGCTCACTAAGATTTAAAATGGTAATGAATCATATTTAGAGATAGTTTCGTGACAGCACACTTCTATATGAATACTTATCTGAACTAACACATTTGTCTCACGTTTTCAGGTTATATATCAATTAATCAACTATTTAATCTAATATACTATTTTATATACCAATTGATCTAATGCAAAATACAGAGACAAGAACCCATTGACACTATGCTTCTCACTATCAACTGGCATGAGTTTTCTGACTTTTAAAAACATTTATAAGCATCAATAAAAACGTGTCATATAGTACGGTGGACTTCTTGTACCACTAAATTCTACACAAGTTTTACACTTCTGGAGGAATCGCTTATGGGTATACTTCATCAAGTTCTCACATATTGGGCTTATATTTATATATATTTGTAATTTTAACAATTTTAAAATACTGAAACAAATGACGAAATAGTAGCACCAACAATATTACCTGTACCTATTTGATTCATATTAGACTTTTCAAGTAACTTAACTCTAGCTATGTTTAAAATTAAATTTCGTACGGTAACAACCGAGAGAGTCAATGCATACGTTTATAAACAAATGTTTAAGTTAACACAATTCTTTAAATTTATGAAGATTTACATTATTCTAAAAATTAGTGTTTCATAAGGTGAGACATTTTGAATAAATACGAAAATTACATGTTCTTGTTGATTTCAATAATACAAGATCGATATTTTTAACCCTTAGTAAGAGTTGCATGTTCTTGTTGATTTCAATAATACAAGATCGATATTTTTAACCCTTAGTAAGAGTTGCATGTTCTTGTTGATTTCAATAATACAAGATCGATATTTTTAACCCTTAGTAAGAGTTACATGTTCTTGTTGATTTCAGTAATACAAGATCGATATTTTTAACCCTTAGTAAGAGAGAGAGAGACCGAATTAACAAATGTTGTTTGTTTTAGAAAAAAATGCTGCACAATGGCCTATCTGCGCTGAAATCGCGACGGAAATCTAGCTCTGAATTTTAACGTTATAAGCCCTGAAACTTACTTCTAAGCCACCAGGGGACGAACATTTAGAGAAAAAGTGTCTGGAAACACATCAGAAAACTTTGAAATAAGACTTTAAAGCAATTTTATACTTTAAACATAGAATGTTGATATATTTGGAATTCCATCCCTCACAACCTGTAAAACATTAAACATTACCTTAGATGTGTTTCATAGATAGATATGCATCATCAATTATTCTATAGGACTTGTAGCGAAGGTCTGTGTAATTACTGGTGCAGGAAAAATAGACGGACTGAGAAACAATTATGTTAATAGCATGTGTGAAATTTTGTGTGTTTGTGGGGTATTGTTACCAGAAAGACTGGATTATATTTAATTACGAAACTTTACATACAAACTCATACATACAAAAAAAAAAGATCTTGGCCTGTACCCAAATGTTGGGAAAGGAATGTGACGCTCGTACGTATATGTTTTTATTTTAAGAATTTGCGATCTATGAGATAGGCCTACCGCTGGTAGATCTCGCTCGATGTAACTAAACCGATTAGTCTAACAATTACCTATGTGTGTGTGTGTGTGTGTGTGTGTGCGTGCATACTAGATAAATTGAGAAGCAATCTTGATAACTGCGAATATTCTCGCTACAATAGAAGAAAGAAAAGGTGCTTCATACATCAGTTTATTTATATATTTTTGTTTCTCGACTCTACTAATGTGTTAATATCGTTTGGTTGTTCAAAATGTCTTCGTTATATTAAAATAAAGCAAATGATTAAAAACGGTAAATATGTAATTCCACAGGGTTTGATAACTCGAGCTTGTAATTATAAAAATAAGATTAATAAATCAAAATACAACAGTTAAGGTAAACTTTATTAAATATATTGATACTGAATTATAAAGAAAATTTTATTTTTTGTTTAAAACACCTTTGAGTTTTCTCAATAATCTAATTCTTTAAAAATCTGTAATCTTTCTGTCAATACAAGGGAATTCTAAGCAGTCAAATATCTTATGCCTATTTTATAGTTCATTTCAAACGTGAGAAAATGGCATTTGCTAATCAGCTAATAAATTATACATTTTAACACGATTATTTTTAGTTTTTAGACCCATACAAATATCAATAGCTAGGAGTTTCTTGCCTTTATTAATTCTGTCTGCATACATTCAAAGCTTTCTTATGAACACTTCGTCAGACGTTTGACAAACCCACTCGTTACGCTAGTTTAATTAAAATAGTCCTTAATAATCAACACTAATCTTTGTTTTTGTATTTTCTAAATCATTTTTCCCACCTTTTTATGCACGCAGTGAATGTATGCGTGTGTATGATTTGAGAAAGTCTACATATCAATAACAATGCCTTTTTTATATTTCAAGCTATTCGTCTTAATATTTCGTAGGTTGAAAAACAGAACCTTTGTACAAGCTGTTTTGCAACTTTCTTCAAGAACGTTATCACGAAACATTTAGAGAACAGAACGTATGAAGAACATTCTAGATAGAGATTACAGAAGACTACATGCAGTAATCTTCTTCAAGGTTGATATGGTAAACTATAAAGAAACTGATTTAGAAGATTTGTCTGGAACTACATATAAACAACGTTCATACATGAGAAGTCTTTTCATCACAAACCATTCAATATTCCACCAAATTCTATGTAAATGTCTTCATTTCATATACGAAAAAACAAACAGTTATACACCAGGGTCAGTACTGAAAGGAGATGGTGTATCCACCGAACAGGGGTCGCCACAATCGCAGCAGTGTCACGAACTACCGAATAAGAGAAAGAATTACAAACTTGAATAATTTTGCACTACGTAATGGACTATTTCTTATTATAATATTTATATAAGTCATTCTTACAGTTTCATTTCTGTTCTTACTTATTAGTTTTCATCTATTTCTTTATGTCAGAACACAATTATTTCAAAAATCTTAATTCTAACATAATTATATATATATATCCACACATTCACAAAACTCAAAGGTTTTCTCATTAGACACTTATTAATCAGAAATCCAACTCGTATTTCATTCATCTTTTAACCTTGAACTTTCACCTTAACAAGTGACAATAATACAAATATATCATGTTTTTCTCTGGCATTAAATCTGCCATGGCAAGGTTACAACCATTCTCGTGTGAGCTGGCACTTTCAACTGACAAGCTAACAATCTTATAATAGTAATAAATACAATTTTTTGCTTTAAATTGAAAGCTATCCCATTATTTGGAAATAACTTTTTATGCTTGTAAATGTTCACTCACATTTGTCATAAAAACATGTAAAATATTGTATAATTTATTCATAAGACTTGAACTCTTTTTGAATACATGAAAGTTATAGCAATGACTCGTCTACTATTTAATTCTATGCATTTTTGTGATTCAATCAAATATTTTCGTTATCCTAATTAGAGTCTATAAGCACTTATATCTGAAATAAACATGTATAAATACTTAGTCGTTGCATATTTCTATAACTTCTGAGGATTTCCGTAATATTTTTATAATAACGTAAAATTGAAATAATATTTAAAATACAACGTATTATAAAGCAATTTCAATTTTATGTATCAAATCAATTAAATACTTTTATACTAAAATCAGGTACAGTAGACAGATGTAAAGTTTTACTCTTAAGCTAAATATATTCTAAAGGTAAACAGATCATGCACAATAAAAACATTCTATTAAAATACTTAAACGTCATTAAGATTTATTAAGCTATTTTATTTTTTAGATATTCTGAAGTTTGTTTGTTTGTAATTAAGCACAAAGCTACACAATAGGCTATCTGTGCTCTGCCCATCACAGGTATCGAAACCCGGATTCTAGCGTTGTAAGTCCGCAGACATACCGCTGTGCCACTGGGGGGCAGATATTCTGAAGTTTGATTCATTCATTATAAAAACTAAAAAAGTTAGAGGCAATTTAAGAAAGGTAACAACAACTTAATATTGATTATTAATTAGGTTCTGTTTTATCACACACATAGAAAAAAATGGATAAAACTGAATATGTTCTACCATTTTGTTTTTCTAAATGTTTCAATATCTGCAATATTGTACGCAGTTGAAACACGTAAAAACTTGCGCTGACTTACACCTCATTTTACTAGCTAAAGTGACAATTTGATATGAAGAAGTGTATCTTCTATGCATTTACCGTATCGTTAGTTGCTAAAGTATTGACTAAAAAAGCAACAGTTTATTTGTCAAAAGTTTATTGAAGGGAAATAAAAAATTATTCACTGAGTTATTCTCTAATTTTTTCATTTTAAAATCAAGGCTCCGACATTTCAACAGTGGAGTAAATATTAGGTCGTCAAGAAATTAATGTAGCGTTTTGGAACACTTTCATTACCCCCCCAAAAAAAAACGTACATCACGTATAATACTTAAAGAACAGCCTAAACGTCACGTTGGTGTAGCCTTTGTAATGTGTAAAACTTAATATACTCTAATGCCTTATAGTGATGGCACATGACGAGACACATATTCGGCATGTAATGCTGTTTGAATACAAGAAGGAAAATAACGCCTCTGTAGC